GGGCTGGATTCGAACCCTCCAACTTAGGTATATGTGGCTAGCGCCTTAGCCACTTGAGCCACAGGTGCCGAGCCAACTTTCAAGAGTTTTAAAATGAACATTTGAAATGTAGCAAAATGCAACCTTTTAAGAAAAGGCAACTTGCATATTGATATTATGTATGTACATATGAATCTTAAAAACACCTATGTCCTTCACCCAGGAATCTTCCTCCTGAAACTTTATTCCAAGAAACTAATAAAAATACAAAAGACAGAGAACTGTTCAAAATACAACAAAAAGGCTTTACATTATAAAGCCTTACATTATAAAACATTATACACAGAGTTTTTTTTTGTTTTTTAAGAGGCAGGGTCTTGCTCTTTTGCCCTGGTGCAGTGGCACAATCATATCTCACTGCAGCCTCAAACTCCTGGTTAAGCAATCCTCATGCCTCAGCCTCCCAAGTCTTTGGGACTACAGGTATGCACTATTGTACCCAGGTAATTTTTTAAAAATTTGTGTAGAGACAGGGTCTCACTATGTTGCCCAGGCTGATCTCAAATTCTTGGCCTTAGCAATCTTGCCACTTCAGCCTCCCAAGTAGCTGGGATTACAGGTGTGTGCCACCATGCAGGGCCCCAAAGATGTTTGTTACTAAGATGTTGTTTAGAATATCTGTGCAGTACAATATTTTACATGCTTAAAAAATTATATTAAAGAGTTTACAATAGCTTTAAAAAATACCTGTTACAACATTAAGTGAAATCTCAATACAAAATTCTATGTAGCATAAGGCTGTGAATATGAGAAATATTATCTTAGAGAAAAGACTTGAAGGAAACACTCCGAAGTGTCAGACATAGTTGACTCTGACTGGGGAAGTTATGGGTGATTTTTAATTTTTCCTTTATTCTTTTCTGTATATTTCCTTTCTTGAAAAGGAACTCTTGTGATTTTTTAAAATCAGAAAAAAAATCTTTCAAAGATATGTAATATAAGTAGTAGAATAAAAAATAGATGATTTTAGTATCTTAGCTGGCCAGTATTTTAGAATAGAAATCAGCAAACCTGCTCTGTGAAGGGGCAGACAGTAAATATTTTAGGCTTCACAGGCCCCGTGGCTCTGCCACAACTCCTCAGCAAGGCAGCACAGAAGCCACTGCAAACAATCCACAAACAGATGGGAACTGCCATGTGCCAATAAAACTTTATTTACAAAACCAAGAGGCCAGCCTAGGGGCCAGTGTGCCAAAGCTGCTTTATTTTTATTTATTTATTTATTGAGACAGAGTCTCACTATGTCTCCCTTTGCAAAGTGCTGTGATGTCATAGCTCACAGCAACCTCAAACTCCTGGGCTTCAGCGATTCTCTTGCTTCAGCCTCCTAAGTAGCTGGGACTACAGGCACCTGCCATAACACCTGGCTATTTTTTGTTGTTTAGCAAGCCTGGGCCATGTTCAAACCCGCCAGCCTCAGTGTATGTGGCTGGAGCCATAACCTCTGTGCTATGGGCGCTGAGCCCCCAACCTGCTTTAGATGGCAAAAAAGTCTTTTCTTATATTTGTCCAGGAGGTATGCATTTTTTTTTTTTCGAGACAGAGCCTCAAGCTGTCCCCCTGGGTAGAGTGCCGTGGCACTACAGCTCACAGCAACCTCCAATTCCTGGGCTCAAGCGAGTCTCCCGCCTCCGCCTCCCAAGTAGCTGGGACCACAGGCGCCCGCCACAACGCCCGGCCATCTCTTGGTTGCAGCCGTCATTGTTGTCCGGCGGGTCCGGGCTGGGGACTCGAACCCGCCACCCTAGGTGTACGTGGCTGGCGCCCCAGCCCGTTGAGCCATAGGCGCCGAGCCGAGGTATGCATTTTGAAGGAAGAGTTTGCTATGCAAATTGGGCGCTGGCAACGGAGCAGGAGCAGGTGGAGTGAGTCTGAAGTCAAGGGCAATTTATAACAAATGTTTCAAGTTTACACAGCACTCTATAAAAGCCCACCGTGTCTAGTGTAATCTGCTCATTACAGTCATTCATATTTACTAATTAAAAATACTTTCATTCATATTTTATTAGCTTGCTTCAAGTTACAATGAATATTATAGTTCTTTAAAAAAATTTTAAGCCTTTGAGGTGGTAACATTACAGGCAAAAGCTGCATGTGGGCTGGGCACAGTAGCTCACGCCCGCAATCCTAGCACTCTGGGAGGCTGAGGCAGGTGGATCACCTGAGCTCAGGAAGTCGAGACCAGCCTGAGAAAGAACGAGACCCTGTCTCTACTAAAAATAGAAAAATTTGCTGGGCGTGGTAGTGGGCACCTATAGTCCCAGCTACTTGAGAGGCTGAGGCAGGAGGATTGCTTGAGCCCAAGAGTTTGAGGTTGCTGTGAGTTATGACAGCACTGCACTCTAGCTAAGGCAACAGAGTGAGACTGTGTCTCAAACAAACCAAAAACCACAAAAAACCTGCATGCATATTCGATCTAGTCCATAGTACCTTCAGGCTGACGTCTGTCCAGTAGATGTGGTTGTTGGACACGTCAAAGTCCAGTGCAGAGGCCTCCTTAACGCCGGTCAGCGGGATGGCCACGTCGTTGTTGTTGGTCTCCAGGGAGATCCTGTGGATGGCGGCTCTGCTGGTGAAGACAAGGAAGGCCTCAGGCACAATGCAGGTCTTCATGTCACTGAGCAGCTCCAGGCCGATGGGGCAACCACACCTGGTTGCACGGGGTGTGAAGAAGCACAGGTGGCTGCACCCTCCATTCCTGTCTGCACATGGGTTGGTTCCTAGAAATAAATTCACAGGCTGTAAATGTCCAGAGCCCAGCCAAGAACGGGTGGGACCCAGCCGCAGGCAGGCATGGCTCGACTCTCACCACACGTCTAATGGGAGAGGATGTGGGTGGTGGGATGATACCAACCAGAGTTCCCCCCCTGGTCGAGTGGCAGTTAACAGTAACAGCAGGAGCAGGCACTGCCTGGAACTAACTGGGAGCCAGGCACTGGCCCCTGGGGTCACCTGTCTTCACTTACTCCATCAATCTAGCAAGTAGTACTTATTCTCATCTCTACTGTTTAGTCAAGGAAACTGAAGCCCAGAGATGCTGTTGACGGCAACACAGGAAGTCACAGAGCAGCTCAGCAAGGGCACCGCCAGGCAGGCTGGCCTTAGACACAGGGCACCTTGAGGCAGTGCCTGGCAGGTCACCCTTCCTTGGCCTGCTGACCAGACAGGCTCCTGGAGTCCCACCCCGGGGTTCCCTCCAAGTCATCAACATTCTTGGCAAACTTGAAAACTCAGATTCACACAGGACGGTTAATGGTTGTCTCTTTTTTATGAAAGCAGACAGTAGGAAGCATGCTTGTTTATTTTTGGCCAGTTTGTTAATCTTACTCATCTACCAAAGCACTATTAAAAGTGGCTTTAATTTAGTGTTAAATATTTAAGCTATAGAAGAAATCCTTCTCCCTCCCTGCCTTAGTAAATCATGAGACCTTGAGGAGGGGAGTTCCTCAACTTTCAATCCCAGCCCTAAGGTGCAGCCTTTTCTGTTATCTCTGGGGTTTGCTTTTTGAACAATCCCTCACAGTTGAGTCTCACCCTCCACAGTGGAGAATCAATGTGTTTTGTGGGGTTTTTAGTTTGTTTTGAGATGGGGTCCCACTCTATTTCCCTGGCTAGAGTGCAGTGGCATCATCACACCTCACTGCAACCTTAAGCTCCTGGGCTCAAGTGATTCTCTTACTTCAGTCTCCCAGAACACCAGGATTAACAGGTGTGAGCTGCCATTCCTGACCTCACAAATGTGTTTCTAAAGGTGACTGATGAAACTAAACCTACAGACTCACCCTCCTGTCCTCTCTGCATCAGGAGCACAGGCCTTGATACAGCCCCTGGCCAGGGAGCACCTGCTGCTCCGGGCTACCTGCCCTATCTTGTTCCAGCCCTTACCTCACTCAGCCTCCACTTCTGCTGGCCAAGCCCTGTCCCCTCCCACTCCCCCAATTCCAAGCTCAATTAGCTCCCTTGTATTCTGAAACCATGGTCCTCTCTAACATGACAGCCACCGTCATCAGATTTGTAGCAGAGCTGACTCAGGCATCTCACCCACTATATTACAGGTGACTTGGTGAACACTGGGACCTCTGTCCACTCCCTCATGTGTCCAGCAGAGACCTGCTACGCATCTCTATGGTATGAGGCTCCAGCAGAGACCTGCCATGCATCTCTATGGTACGAGGCCCAGGGCCCCGGCACTATGGCACCCGAGGCCCCACCCAGATGCTGCTCTCTCCAGTGTAACTTGCTGATTTGCACCTGGGGTCCTTTTCAGAAAGAGACTATAATGATTGTCCAACAATGATCTCCTTGGTGAGCATTTTGCAGGTCCTGGCTTTCAGGCAAAGGTGCGTGTGTGTTTCTGAGGGTCAAGCCTGGCCACAGTGGACAACGATCATAGCCCAGCCCAGCAATGAGGTCAAGGTAGGCCCAGGGGCGAGCTCTGAGCTCAGCAGGCCTGAGGTGCAGGATGCCACATCCCCTGTCCCAGTGGAAATGGGGCCACAGCTGCGGTAGCACATGGTGCTGCTCTGGACACTAAGACTCTCAGCCAGGGCCTGGCGCATAGTAGGTGCTCAGCAAATGTCAGTCACAATGGTAACAATAAGTACTGCCATTCCTGGTCCATACCTACCACTTGGTCAATATCCCATATGCCAGCCCTGCTCCTGTCTGCCCCACCTGCCCTTCCCCAGAGTGGGGTACCCCAGCTCGATACCAAACTTGGACCTGTTACTTCTCCCTTGTGCCAGTCAGCGTGATTGAGCAAGGGCCTGGGCCTCCCTGACTCACCAATGACCTTGGCCACGTTCACCGCCTTGAGCCCCATCAGGTCGGGCAGCTGGTCAATGATGACGTCGCGGCTGGCCTTCACCTTGTGCACTCGCTCGATGCTGCGACGCTGCCAGTCCGTCCAGTAGATGAAGTCCCCCAGCAGTGTGAAGCCGAAAATGTGCGGGAGCTTGTCCTCCAGCAGAGTCCGTCTCTTTGTCCCGTCCACATTGATCACCTGCAGGACGGGAGTGACATGGGTCACATAGGGCCACCCCAACCTGCGCCACCCTTCCCCACCTCAGGCCTGAGCTCCCAGGAGCATCTGCTTTGTCCACACCATGTCGGGGCTCATGGGGGTGCTGGATAAATGACATTTTCATTATGATGCATGCCTCCATTTGACAGGGCAATGACAGGCCAGCTCAGAATCCCTTACCCACAGCCTCCCCTGCCCGAATGTGAGTGTTGTACGGGGACAGGTGGCCCAATATAAGCATGCCAGGCAAACAGGTATCTTCTCCCTTACCACTGAGCTGCCTGGAAGACCAATGAATGGGTCTCAGACCAGGGTGTGCTCCACAGGCAGGAGGCCTGGGTCTACCAGCCATGCCTGCCCGTGACTTAGGGGTCCCCAGTTCACACCACCACACAGAGTTACCAAAGGCCAAGCAACTGCAGGGCCTGGCCAAGTCCCTTCCACTCTCTGGGAACTAATTTCTCACTCAATCAGACCAGATGAACTTCTTGTTCTACAACTAAGCCCACGGGTCTAGACGCTTTTACCCTGGTTACTCCAAGATGTAAAAGTCAAATCTCTTCCTAGAAGAGTTGGTGTTAATTAAGAGCAACTACTGCAAAAGCTACAGGGCAGAAAATACCGTCAAACATAAACGCCTTAACAAGCTGAGACTACAGACACTTGGGGTAAGACGGGGTCCAGTGATCCATGATCCCGTAGCAGCTTATGTCAAAAGGAAGACTGAGTAAAGACACCACGTTCAGCTCTCAAGCTCTCGGGCTCTCAGGAGAGGATGAAAGGCACACAAGGCAATTACAGGCAAGCTTCAGCAGGCCCCCTGCAGCCAGATTCATTCCCTGCTCATCAGAAAAGCCACAGATCCTCTGTTTTTCATAGGCACCATAAACATGAGACAGACTGAACGTGCACAGAGAGGGAGACTTTGGTCCTCCGTGGTTGGACAGCTCAGGACAAAACTGCTGGGTAAACAGGGAGGGGCACATGGCCCTGGGCCCCAGCCAGCTCTGCCTCAGTGCTCTGTACCCTCTCGGACCTAGTCTTTCCTCCTGGGACTACTAGCCAAGGAGCTAAAGTCACCCAGGGAACTTAACAAAACAAAGAGCAGGGGCTGGGCCCAGCCTGCAGCAACTACAGTGGATTCAGAAGGCCCAGGCATGGGCATTAAAGCAGCTCCCCACACTGGGTTCTGAGAGGCCAGCTCGGCGCAAACAGCGGGCTTAGCCCAGCGAGGTTGGGGCTCAGGTGGTACCAGTCCTGGCAGCTCCGGGGGGCAGTGAACAGCAGGTGACAGGCCCCTCAGTCCCACGTGGTTTAAGACTCTTGATGGAGTTTTGCCCCCACAACAGGAAGGCACACAAAGGCAGTAAACACGTGCTCCACAACCAGGTGGGTATTCAGAGAACACCTGAGAGGCCTGGTCCATCCCAGCAGCACAGTGCCACACTACAGGGACCCGGCCCTGGGTGCCTGGCAAGGAGGTGCAATGGGGGAAGGCAGGAAGTGGGGCTCACACCAGCAGGGCCCTTCGCCCCCTCCTCCACCCACAGTCACCAAGGCTGGGAGGGCCATCAGCACAGTTCATGAATGTGACAAGGAAGACAATCCTTTACCTAGAAAAAGAAAGGACTCAAAGATCCAACCTACCAAAGGGCAATATTATCTCTTTGATTTTTCTCTTCTTGTCCTAGTTACTTACTTTCTTAATTTTTTTTTTTTTTTTTGAAACAGAGTCTCGCTATGTCGCCCTTGGTAGAATGCCATGGCATCACAGCTCAGAGCAACCTCAAACTCCTGGGCTTAAGCGATTCTCTTGCCTCAGCCTCCCAAAACGTGGCTATTTTTTTGTTGTTGTAGTTGTCATTGCTGTTTATCAGGCCTAGGCCAGGTTCGAACCTGCCAGCCCCAGTGTATGTGGTCGGCTCCTTAACCACTGAGCTATGGGTGCCAAGCCATGCCCAGCTATTTTTAGAGACAGGGTCTTGCTCTTGTGCAGGCTGGTTTTGAATTCCTGAGCTCAAGGCTTCCACCCACCTTGGCCTCCCAGAGTGCTGGGATGACAGGTATAAACACTACCCTCGGCCTTTCTTAATTTTAATAACTCAATTTCCAGCCATGTTAAACTGAACTGTCCCTGACTCCCAGCCTCATCCTCAAACAATGAAAAGGAGCCCAGAGGCTCCAGGTGAACTGCAGTGATGGGCGCTGGCCGGAGCCACTTTTCTCTCCACCTTTGCTCCCTACTCCTTGGTTGCCCCCTAAAAAAGTGGGGGAAGCAGTGAGCTGCTCCTCTCAGGCTGTGCCCATAGCAAGGGCAGGATGGTGGCTCTGGACCAGCAGCACCCTCCCTTGGAGATCTCTTCGGCCACTCAGAAGCTACTCTCCGAGTCCCCCGCAGCCCACCCAGGTTACTTTGTTGTTGTTGTAGTTGTCATTGTTGTTTAACAGGCCCAGGCCGAGTTCAAACCTGCCTAGAAGCCGTAGAGCACCACACGGACTCACCACCTTGCAAACACAGCAGGCCTAAAACAAGCGGAGCTCAGCGGCCCTAACACTAGGAAAAAGAAGGAATGCTAAAGTGGTCTTCTGGTGACGACTTTCAGCACACCTTGACCAGAAGCAACACAGCTGAGAAAACAACTCCAAGGTATCAGGCCTCTCCCAAGACTACAGCAGGCCTCCCTTCTCCTGGAGCCCCAGCTCCCCAGAACTCCCCCACCATGAGCCTTGCTCAGCCGCCTTCAGAATGTCAGGAGAGGAGACGCAGAGAACATTCCCCTCTATGTTCAGAAACAACAGGATCAAATTTGGGACGCCCATAGATGGGGGAGCCGGGAGATAACTCAGGAGATAGATTTTCTAGGACAGAGATCAGCACATTTTTCTATAAAGGGTACAAAATGTGTTCAGCTTTCAGACCATAGCGGTCTCGGGGTGCAAAAGCAGCACACAAAACCCCAAGGAGACACACGCAGTCAGGTGCTGCTGTGTTTCAACAACACTCCGCTGATTAAAAAAACAAAATAAAGTTTTCGTGGACACTAAAATGTAAACACACTATAAATTTTCATGGGTCATGAAATAGTCTTCTTTTAATGTTTTTCAAATAATTTTTAAAATGTAAAAATAAATAAACCTCTCTTAGGTTTGAGAATGGTACAAAAACAAGTGGCAGTCTGGGCCCCGACTATAGTTTTCAAACCCTGCTCTAGGAATCTCTGTGCACCTGCTTTAAAGGAAGGGAAACTAGGCCCAGAGCCTGGATGGCGACTCGGGGTCCAGGGCTACTCTCAGAGCTGCCAGCTTCAGTTCTCTTCCCAAGGCAGTTGGAACAGACACCTGCCTCCCCGACCAGCCCATCAGGGTACCTACAGCCCACCAACTGCCAGCTGGAAGGGAAGGACAAGATGGCCCCAAGAAAGCCCATCCTCTGCCATGCTCCAAGAGGCAGCAGCACTGCTGTGAGGTCTGTAGGAGGGCCCCAAAATGGTGGCCCCCAGAAAGTCGACTGGCCTGTGATGCCCTTATAATGAATCCCACGTTCCCACTGATTTGGTTATACAAAAAGACATGAGCACAAGACCAGCCCTCTGAGGGCACACATATAACAGGAAAACAGCTCTGCTGTTTAATTAAGGAATAACTGCCCCAAGCTGTCACACACAAAACCCCAAAGTAGACGAGACGGTTGTATTACTCCATGTAATAGATCTCAAACACGCACACAGCTTCTGGCTCTGGTGGTCGATCTTGTCCCCTGGTGCCACAGGCAGGGACAGCACAGCAGTCCTGCAGTGAGTGTTTTCTGAGTTTGTCAACATCACTTCTGTCTATTTAGTAAGTGTCAGGGCACGGGAGAAACACCTACCCAGGGGGAAGTGAGAGCCACCTAGAGAGCCGGGGGGGGGGGGGATGCACAGGAGGTCACAGGTGACCTAGACCTGATGTGTCCTCAGCCCATCTGGGGTCACCACAGTGATCCCCAAGCTGGACCGCAGAGAGGTCTCGTCTGCTTTGGGAGACAAGATCTGCTCACAGACAAGTGGTAACGATGACAATGACAATAATTCTGTGGCTAGGCACCAGCCCTGGATGGGTGTCGGTGGCTACAGCTTCCAGCCTCCAGGCAGGAACCAGGCGCCACCATTTTGGAAAGGAAGACCCTGCCTGGGCAGCTGAGTGGGTGGAGGCGGTAGGTCATCCCCACACATAAGACCATGGAGTGGCTGGGGGGGGGGGCCCGGCGTCTGGGGAGAGGGGATAGAGACAGCCGGGCATGTGAGGCTGGGGCTCAGGAGCAAGCTGACAAGCACGGTCAGGGGAGGGGCGAGCACGGCCTGAGCATCCCGAGGGAGACCGCTCTGGGAGACAGCAATGCCAGTCACACTCACAAACAGCATTAAGAGCTGTGGCAGGGAAGAGAGGGGAGCTTGTGGATGGGCTTGAGTGTCCAGGTGGGTAGGAACATGCAGGCTCCATTTGGGGCATGCGCTGGAGGGTCACAGGATGGGCTGGGGGTGGCTAAGGGCATCCTAGGGTGCTAAACCTCCAATCCAAGGGCTCTAGAACTCAGAAAAAGGGTTAAGGAGGCATCTCAGGGGTGAAGTCAGCATCACCTGGGATTCCTAGCCCAGGAGGTTAGAAGAACAGGGAGAGAGATGGGGCTGCATCCACGGGACCCCAGGTCACACCTACTCAGGCTATCTCCATGGACAGATGCTGTGTCAGGACTGACCTGGGCAGCTCAGTAGGTGGAGAAGGGAGCACAGGGCTGCTGCCCAGAGGAACCCAGTGAGGGAGCGGCCTCAGCCCACACCCACACCTGGAGCCACGTGCCACTCCCCACTGTCACTGGCGATGGCACCAGCTGGTTGTGGGCTGGTGTGACCACCGGGCAGCCAGGGATGGACCTACTCTAATTTCAAGAGCAGCAGTCACAGACAAGGCCAGTAGGAGGCCCCCTCGGAGAGGCCACACGG